GCTGGGGAGAGGAGCTGGTCACCTTGCTGTGGGGAGGAGGCAGCAACCCTGCAGGGTGTGAAGGTCCTGTGGCCACGTCCTGCTCATGCCTCAGCTCCTGCATCCTGGCCCCAGTGTGGCCCCAATTCACCCACCTCCTGTCCCTGCTGTGCCCTGGGGGGGGAGGCAGCAGAGGACATGGTGGAAAGTCCCCCCTGAAGACATTGGGCCTCCAGAGCCCAGGCCAGAGGAGGGAGCCCTGGGAAGCTGAGGTCATGCCCTGAGGAGCCCAGGGTGACCTGCCACGGCCAACACTAGGGACAGGCAGAGCCCTGAGAAGGCAGAGTCCACATGGTCACCTCTGTGTGGTTGTCCCACAAGTGCTCCATCTAAGCCACCTGATGTAGGGACACATGAGGATCCTCCCAGTCGCAGATTGTGGTTTTGGCAAAACAAGAGGGTTTCTCCCAGGTAGGAGGTGTGGGGACAATGCAGGTGACCTGGGATCCTCTGCACTGGGTCCTCTGGAAGCAAAGGAAAAGGATGCTGGACACTGATGCTCCCACTCTCCTCTGAGACCTGCCTGGACACCTCCTTGGCCTCAGCCAGATCTGCAAAAGTCTGAGGTGTTCACGTTCTGGGGTCTCCAGGGTGGGCTGGTCACCTGGTGAGCAGGGAAGCTCCAGTGCTGGACACAGAGACCCCCTGGGGACCAGGCACTGTCTGAGGGTCTCCACCAGACAGGGTGCTGAGCTCAGGGTGCCCCTGGTGCAGTCAGAGGGACTGGCCAGCAGCAAGTGACCTGCAGACCTTGAGCACTTTCTGATGAAGAAGAATTTTAAATGGGCTTCAATTTTGTCTTGTTTTGCTTGATCTGGGGGATGTCACTCTAGGGCTTTTGCTGGTTCCTGGTCTTCTATCAGAATTCACAGGCTCTGACCCTGCACCGTCCACGCCAGCCTCAGGGTGTCCTGGGGGAGCTACTGCAAGGAGGTGGGGCCTCCTCCTGAGCTCCGGAGGGGACCTTTCCCAACAGCTCCCATGAGCCTGTCACCTGGCCCTCGGGCACCTGCAGTGAGTGGTTCCTCACCAGGACTCACCCTCGCAGGATCCTCACACAGAGACCCCTGGAGCTCAGGGTCCCAGGTGGGAGACGTCCAGCCCATTCCATGTCCATGCAGTGTCCACAGGGCACCGCAACCAGAGCCACAGCAGTGGAGCTGGCAGGGAGCCGAGGTGACTGAGTCCTTGAACATGGAAGGGTTAGAGTCAGACTGGACTCTAGTCCTGGGGCTGGTGTCCTAGTCACTGAACTCAGGGAGAATCCACTCCTGGACCAGGACGTGAGGCTGAGACGCCTCCTCCTGCCCTTGAGCTGAGGAGGGCTCACAGATTCACATGTCCTCCCATAACAGCAGGGTCCAGGAGCAGCCCCTGCTCAGCATGTGTCCACCTGAGCCCACTGCTGCTGCCCCTGATCCTCCCCTGCCCCACCCTGGCCACTCCTGCAGGGAGGAAGCTTCAGAGCAGGCTGAGATCATAGCAGCCCACACTGGACCTGTCCCCAACCTCTGGCCACCTACTCTTTGGCTCTCAGGAGGTGCACCTGTGGGGGCTGAGGGGCAGCAGGGGAAACAGTGCTCAGCCCCAGGAGGTGGACGACCTTCCTGCTCTGGCCAGAATCTCCGCCTCTTCCCAGGGCAGCAGCAAAGAGCACTTGGAGTGTGGGATGGACCTGGGCTAGACGTCCACGTCCCTTCCTGGCTCCCTGATTGCACAGAGGTGCCCACTGCTCCTGGACCTGGGGGTGCCTCTTGGAATAGAGAGTGGCTGGGGGGGTTGAGGGCTGGGGACTCAGGAGCCAGCACACGCTGCAGGCCACTGTGGTCCCCTCACACAGCCACCAGCACAGGTGCTCAGGGGTGTGCTGTGACAGACGCAGCAGGTCCTCCAGGATGGCCACCAAGCTGACTCCCTCAGTGGACATGGGGTAGCTGGTCTCCCTGGCACTGTCCTCTGTGCTAACTGTCACTGGTGTTCCATCAAACCCAGGTCCAAAGGGGCCAGGACGGGGTCATGAGAGCTAATGGGGTGAATGGTGCAGACGTGAGGTCCACTTCCCCAGGCTGAGCTGTGGGGTGTTGAGGACCATGGTGGACACCAGGACCCCTGCCCATTCCTTAACTGACTGCCCACCTCCCTGCTCCTCATGCCCAGGGCTGTTGACCTTCAGGAGATGGCCGAGAGGTGATGTGGTAGGATGGGGCCATGCTTTAGAGGGGACCCTGGGGAGGAGGAGGTGGCCTGGCGTTGGTGGGCTAGTTGCCTGCATCTAATGGGGAGAGGGCTGAGTGACCTCACCAATAACCCTGCCTTATTCTGGTCTTGATGATAGGACCAGGAGAATACACCAAGGCCTCTCTCCATTTTGCACCCCACAGATCTGCTCTGAGACCCAGAGCCCAGGGAGGACCCCATGATGGACAGGAGGTGAGACCTGCACCTTGACCCCCACCTCAGCTGCCACCTTAGTCCTGCAGCTGCCCCCACTCTGAGCACACAGAGCTGCCCAAGAAGGACCTGGATCCAGGCTGGGAGGATTCCCGGATTCTCTGTCTCCTCCTAGAACCATCGGGTGCCTCTAAGGGGACAACAGCAGAGTGAATACTTATAGGATGACCTTGAAACCTGGGGGTCCCAGCAGGTGCCTTGTCCCAGAGACTAGGAGGCTGAGGCCGGAGGACCACAAGTTCAAGGCCAGCCTGGCACTGTAGCAAGACCTGTCTCCAAATTGAAAATAAGCAGCCTGGGATGTAACTCCAGGGTAAAGAGACCCTGGGTTCAGTGCCCAGGACTGAAAATACACCCCAAGGGTCCCTTAGCAGAGAGCCAGCTACTCCAGCCTCCACTGTGAGGTGCAGACAGGGCGGGGCATGATCCCCTGCGCACCACCCATCTGCCCTGCTCCTCGTTATCCTGCGGCTCTCTCTAAACCCTACTGAGGGCTTGTGGAAGTCTGAGGCATAAACTCAGACAATCTTCAAATTCTTCAGTAAACTTTCATCTTCTCGTTTGGTACCAGGGATTGCACCCAGGGGTGGTTGAACACTGAGCCACACGCAGCCCTCCTTTGTATCTTACCTAGAGACAAGGAATCACTAGCTAGCTCAGGGCCTTGCTGAGTTGCTGGAGGCTGCCTTTGAACGTGTCATCCTCCTGCCTCAGCCTCCGAGCTGCTGGGGTTACAGGAGTGCCCCAAGTTCCTGGTCTTCAGTATTCCACATCCACGCCCTCCAACAGGGCTCCCTGTGAACACATTGGCCACGTAGACTAAAATTAGGGAGGACTAACTACCTGGAGGTAATTCAGCTCCTTGGCCCCCTGAGCCCTGGTCAAGACTCTGAAGCCTCCTGGGGCTGCAGCCTGTCCAGCAAGGCAGGGAGACTGGCCATCCTGGGTCATGGTGCAGGGCCAGACACCGTCTCCTTGCCCGTGACCTAGGTCTCCTGCAGGAGACTCCAGGTGGTGACAGTGTCCACCTCCATGGCAAGATGACGTGGTCTTCTGGGAGGTGGTGATGAGCAGAGGTCCTCCTGGATCCTCCCTGGCCACCCCCTGCAGCTACCTGCCCCAGCGACGTCCCCCACGCTGTGTCCTCCCATGCCCACGTGTCTCAGACCACATCCCCTGGGGAACCGCAGGTCTCCCTCACACAGGGGTGGCTGACTCAAGTGTGGCCTGGGGCCTGGCCTGGCTGGGCAGCATTCAGGTCAGTATGGAAGGGCCTCAGGGTCAGGGGGACCTCAGCTCTGGCTGAGATGTCTCCAAGGGCGGAATCCCCCTGAGCCCTGCCCAAGGGAAACCAGAGACAGGTCAGGGAGGGGCCATCCGCATCCGGTGGGTGCTCAGCTCTGGGGACCGGGGAGCAGCAGCAGCCCCTGCTTACCACTTCCGTGCTGTCTGACCTGCAGGGCCTGCACTCTCCTCTCTGGACGCTGGAGTCTTCAGAGCCGGCGGCATGAGGTCCACCCTGCCTGTCCTCCTGTGCCTCGGTCAGTGTTGGTTGGAGGGAGGGACACAGGCTGGGTGGGGAGGGTCCAAGGTGCCTGTTCACATAGAGCCCTCAGGTCTTAAGTCCATATGGTACCAAATGGCTGCTGTGAGCACAAGGAACAATAATCCTCCCCAACACTGAGATGCCAGCTCCTCACGGGGACCTCTCTTCCAGGGCTGAGTCTGCAACAGAGCCCCCGGGGGTCTTCAGGTGAGTGCCCTGCTAGCCGCCCACGTCCTGCCCAGGCTCAGCCCCTGGGGTCTCAGGAGAGAAGAGAGCAGCCTGGGCGGAGGGTGGTGACAAGGTAGGGCAGTGGGACCTGGGGTAGGGACAGGCCAGGACCGAGCCCCTAGAGACTACCTGTCCCTCCAATGTCACTCTGACATCAGCTATCACATATTTGCTCTGTCCAAGGAGGGGGCACAGGACCTCCCCCAGCGCCCTGGACAGCAGCCCCAGGCTGGGCTCTCTCAGGCCGACTTCCTGCTGGGCCCTGTGAGCAGCTCCCAGGGGCTTGGTGTAGATGCTATGGTGGACACAACCTCTTGTCTGAGGGGCCAGCCCCTAGTGACCCCCTTAACTTCCTGGTCATAGGTGAGAAGCACAGAGGATCCTGTCAGTGATTCAAATGTGCAGAGTTTTGTGTGTGGAGCCCCAGAAGGTGATGTTGAGAGCCACAGCCGAAGGGGCCCCAGCAAACTTCCAGCTGCCAGCAAACTTCCAGCTGCCGGCTGATGATTGGCTCACAGCGGCCCCAGCAACATCTAGCTGATTGGCTCCTCTGCGGTGATGCTCATTGGGCTGTTTCCCTGCCCTTTCAGACCACGGAGCTGCTCATTGGGGGACTTTTTTGGCTCCGCCCACATGACCCAGGCAATCGGCCTCAAGAGCAGGAGGATTGTGGGAGGTGGAGAGAAGCTTAGGGGGGAGAGAGAGGCTTGTGGAAAGCCGGTGGTGGCAGTTGAGGCTCTGAGGGTTTTTCCTGAGAGGCTGTTTTGTTTGGCGTGTGTGGTTCTAAAAATAAAGTTAGTTTCTTTTGACAAGTGGCTCCTGATTGTGCCCAGCCAGACTGCGGCATTTGGTGGCTCGCACGGGGAGCGCCTGAGGGTAAGTGAACTGCTCGCCCCTGAGGGCAGGGCGAGAGGATGGGTAGCCATTTTAAGATTCTTCTTTTGTTATTTTGTTTCACTTTTGTTTTAAGTTGCCTGTCCCTGGAGATGTGTAAGATGGAAGAAAAACCGCTCACATCTGAGGAACAGATAGGGAGAAAGGACGGATGGACATTTCAGGAGGCTATTATAATGATTTTGTGTTGTTCCAATTTTGTTTCACTCAGTTTCAGTTTTGTCAGGCGTCATCTTGTTGGGTTGTATTATAGTAGGAATACGGGATCAGAAATTAGTAAAAAACAAACTGAAAGAGTGTTAAGTAAATTGTTAGAGGAAGGAGGCATCTCAGTAAAATCAAGAGCAGTCAGGGCATACGTTGATACAATACAGAAATGTAGCCCATGGCTTTTTAAGGAGGAGTTGTTAAATATATCACAATGGAACCATCATGGTGAAGATTTAAAAAGAATAGAAAAGAAAAGCCCAGGGACTCTGCCAGTTGGCACATTGCCATTGTGGACGTTCATAGTCCCCCAATGAGCAGCTCCGTGGTCTGAAAGGGCAGGGAAACAGCCCAATGAGCATCACCGCAGAGGAGCCAATCAGCTAGATGTTGCTGGGGCCGAGGAGCCAATCAGCTAGATGTTGCTGGGGCCGAGGAGCCAATCAGCTAGATGTTGCTGGGGCCGCTGTGAGCCAATCATCAGCCGGCAGCTGGAAGTTTGCTGGGGCCCCTTCGGCTGTGGCTCTCAACATCGTGACAGCCAGGGTGAGGTGAAGGGTCTCAGGAGGGAGAGAGACAGGGAGGGGCAGAGAGGACAGAGACAGGGGGACACAGGGACAGGAAGAATCAGAGACAATGAGACAGACAGAGAGCACAGGGTCCTCAGAGAGAGGCCCTGGGGAGGTCTCAGCTCAGAACAAGCTGGGGCCACCCTCACCCTCCTTCCTCTCTCTAGGACAGGTCCCTGTCACACCCTCCCTCTCAGTGCAGCCTGGTCCCACAGTGTCCTCAGGGGAGAACGTGACCCTGCTGTGTCAGTCACAGATCAAGATGGACACTTTCCTCCTGTGCAAGGAGGGGGCAGCTGATCCCCCCCTGCATCTGAGAGCAGAGTACCGAGCCCCATGGCACCAGGCAGAGTTCTCCATGAGAGCTGTGACCCCAGCCCTTGGGGGGACCTACAGGTGCTATGGCTCTCACAGCTCATCCCCCTACCTACTATCACAATCAAGTGACACCCCTGGACGTTGTAGTTTCAGTTGGGAGGCCTCTGACCCCATCCTCTGTGAGCTCAAGGATTCCCTCAGGGCCCTGCCCAGGACAGCTCTGGGTGGGACGGGAGTGAGGGGCCCTAGGGAGGGTCGGCCAGTGGGATTCATCCTTCAGAGACGAGGGGCAACGGGGTCCTCCAGCCTGTGCACCCACCCACCACTGGAATCAGGAAGGTGCAGGTGGGCACAGGAGGGTCCTGGGGAGGCCAGGCAGGTGTAGGAGGATGGGCAGAGAGTGTCCCCAGGGGCAACTTGCACCCCTCACCCTCCTGTTCTCCAATTCCCAGGACCCTCTGGGGGACCCAGCTCACCACCCTCAGGACCCAGGTCAACGGCTGGTGAGTCTCAGGGGCCTCTGTGCAGACAGTGTCCTGCATTCTTGGGCAACCAAGAATCACTGTGAGCTACAAAGTCCAGTTACAAACTCAGCAAAGCTGTGTCCAGGACACTGCAGAGAATGGTCAGGGATCTCAGGCCCTGGGGCTCAGGGCTGGGAGGTGTGAGGGGGAGGTCCAGGCAGAGGTGACTCTAGGCCCAGCCTGGGGAGGAGCAGCCAGCTGAAGTGGGGGGCAGGCAGCCCAGCCCTCACCTCCCACCCACCCCAGGAGGCCCTGAGGACCAGCCCCTCACCCCCATGGACCCAGGACCCCAGAGTGGTGAGTGAGGGGCTCTGGTGGGAGGTGGGTCCAGGGCAGGGATGAGCTGAGGGGGAGCAGCCCCCTCTGGAGATGCTGACGGGGACCAGCCCCTCCCCTCTGGGCCTCGGTTTCTCCCAGGGCAGAGGAGAAGCCTGGCCCTGACCTTCAAGTGCCTCTCAGGGCTGACCTTGGCTGTGCCCTGCTGGGAGAGGGGCCTCCAGGGAAGCCTCCAGGACCTGAATCTGCAGGGCCCTGTCCCCTCTGTGCAGTGACAGTGACACTGAGCAGGGGAGGGCTCAGGGCCATCGGGGTGTCAGGCTCTTTCCCTCCAGCTCAGGGCTGAGCTCTGGTGGAGAGAAGGAGACTGGGAGTCAGACTCCCCCAGTTCAGGCCCCGCTCTGCTGCTTCCTGCTGGGTGACTGGGCAGGGGACCCCTCTCTGAGCCTCAGTTTCCTCATCTGTGCCTGGGGAGTGGGTGGCAGGGCCATGGTGCCTGAGTGACAGGGCTGGAGGTGACAGGTGGAAAGACCAGCAGGGTGGCACACAGTAGGTGCTCAGGTTAGCAGCGTGGCTCCTCGTCCACACCTGTGCCCAGGACTGGGAAGGAGTCTGAAGATTCTGGTGGCGGTCTCGGTTCCCCTCCTCCTGCTGCTCCTCTTCCTCCTCCAGGGACACCAGTGTCGGGGACAATGCAGGAAGGCAGGTGAGTGGGGAGGGGGAGACGTGGTGGCGTCCCAGGGGAATTAGCCAGTTGTGCTCAGGGCACACAGATGGGAAGCCCTGGTTGTCACCCTGAGCAGCAGGACCACCCAGGAGACCCAGCAAGAGCCCGTGGGGGCCTCACAGGTCTGCCTTCTTCTCGTCACACAGGGCTCAGCACTGCTGTCACCTCCCCAGAGGCCACCCAAGGCCACCAGGTGACCCGTCCTCTCCCCCGCCCTCCTCTCTGTGCCCGCTGCCCTCCTCTCTCCTCCCAGCTGATTGTGCTGATGGGCTCTGGTCGGCCTCCTGCCCTGAGGCCTGGGCGCTGGCCTCTCTCCTCTGCCTCCTCCCCTGCTGAGCTCACGGCCCCTGCTCCTGAGTAGGAGGTGGACCTGGCCACAGCCCTGCCCTGCACTGGCCCCCTCCCAGCCACACAGATGGCCGACTCCTGGGGGTTTGCTGTTGGCAAGGCTCTACTGGGGGCTGGGGACAGCAACAGCAAACACAGTCTGGTGCTCAGACACAGGACAGCCCCGGGACAGACAGACGGGGCAGAGGCAGACAGGCGTGGGGAGACCAGGCAGGGAGAGGGCTGTGAACCCAGGACAGAGCCAGGTGGGCGGAGGGCCATGGGCAGGAGCAGGAGGGGTAACTGGACAGTCAAGGAGGGTTCCCTGGGGAGTACCCTGGCCAGAGCCCTCACCACAGGGACACGCCTGAGAGCATCTCAGGAAGAGGGTCCTGCCAAGGGAGCAGCACTGTGAGGCCAGTGGGCACAGGCTGACCTGTCCAGCAGGCACGAGTCCAGGTGTTGCAGGTGATGCATGAGGAGCAGCTGTGACAGGTGGCAGGACAGAGGTGGGCAGGGCTCGGTCCTACAGGTGCCTCTGCTCTGGCAGAGCCTGAGAAGCCCCTGGAAGTTCTGCTGGGCGTGGAGAGCTGACTGCTGGCTGCAGGTCCCTCCAGCTCCCTGTGGGAGGTGAGGGGCACAGCCAGAGTGGACTCAGGAATTGCCTGCCTCTGTCCCCTCCACAGAGCCCTGCAGATGAAGACCCCTGGGCAGTCACCTACGTTGAGGTGTCACACTCGAGAATAGGGCATGGAGGACTGTCCACTTCATCCCCTGAGTCAGGGATATTCCTGGTCATGAAGGACACATCAGAGGGAGAGGACAGCCTGCAGACCTGCCAGGTGGGTCCTGTCCCCTCCATGGCCCAGGCCCTCCAGGCACCAGCCTCACCTGTCACCACTCTGTCCTCACTCCAGGTGGCTGCATCTGAACCTCCCCAGGATGTGACCTATGCCCAGCTAAAGGACCTCAAGCTCAGACAGGAGACAGCCACTCCTCCTTCCTCCCAGGGACAGGAGCGTCCAGCTGAGTCCAGTGTCTACGCCACCCTGGCCATCCACTAGCCCAGGACACCACTCAGATCCCACACTGCAAGGATAGGGACTCGGGGACCTCAGTGGGCACAAGATAGTGCACAGACACTGACCTAGGAGTTACAGCCAGCCTGGTATGGCCTGAATTGGAGCAAATCATCTCCCATGCCTGCATGACTGTGTCATGATGAACACCAATATCATGTAAGTCTTCAGATAACTAATAAATATCATAAGAAGACAGAAAATCAGCATCAAATCTCAGCAATATCGTCATCTAGCATAATATGTTTTAGTCATTTTATGCAAGTTAAAGGACAGATGGATCAACAGAAAGTAGTGAATTTTGAAAGATAGTAAACAGCTGACTCAAGCCTGGTGGTACACCCGTCTGATCCCAGTGACGCTAGAGGCTGAGGCAGGAGGATCCCAGGTTTGAGGCCACCCTGGGAACCTTAGAGAAAAGTCACAGGGCTGGGACGTGGCTCGCGGTAGAGCACTCGCCTACCCAAGTCCTCGTGCAGGGCCTGAGGTCAGCCCCAGGTGGGGGAAAGAGATGAAAGGACTGAAGCCCACTAAGGTCAAGGACAGAGTGACCAGAGCTGAACCCAGGAGCACAGGGGCGGGCTCCAGGTGCACGGGGAACGTGATGGGAAGGTGAAAATGACCCCAGGACACGGTGGATGTGGGGCAGGCCCAGGTCACCCAGCCTCTGCTAAACGGGAATTGTTGATGAAGAGCACACAGGTGAGGAGTAGAGGACTTGCTTTACTTCTACACGATCCTGTGTGAGTACTGACTCCGTGTTCATGTGCCTGGGGCCTGGTGCCCAGGACAAGTTGCATAGACCCAGGAAAGGTGGAGAGACGTGATGAATGTCTGTGTGGGTGCTGCATGGCCACAGTGGGCTAGCAGTGTCCACCCAGGGGCTCTGTGAGGGCCGAGCACGGCCTGGGAGGGGCCTGTGCTGCACCCAGGTCTCACCTGCAGCTGCCCACCCCCGGCCCTCGCTGGGGAGAGGAGCTGGTCACCTTGCTGTGGGGAGGAGGCAGCAAAGCCTGCAGGGTGTGAAGGTCCTGTGACCACATCCTGCTCACTTTGCAGCTTTGTTCAGCTCCTGCATCCTGGCCCCAATGTGGCCCCCAAATTAGCAACCTCCTGTGCCCTGCTGTGCCCTGGAAGGGGAGGCAGCAGAGGACATGGTGGAAAGTCCCCCCTGAAGACATTGGGCCTCCAGAGCCCAGGCCAGAGGAGGGAGCCCTGGGAAGCTGAGGGTATGTACTGATGGAGCCCAATGTCACCACTGAGTGACAGAGCCCGTCATGGGTGGCATTCACAGAGGGATGTATTATCTCTGCTTTGGGTGTTGAGGGGCACTGGGGGAAATAGTTCTGAGCTATGGTAGAGGCATGGGTTTCCTGCTCTTAAAAAAAAAATGTCTTGTCCCAGGGAGAGCAGGAAACCCACATCAGAATCTGGAGTAGACCTGGGCGCAGATGTCCACTATAGACACAGTGATTGATCAGGTTCAGGGACTTGCAAAAGATTCAAGAAACCAGGACACTTACAGACCACTGTAGACTGCCTCACACAGAACCCAGCACATGGGTGCTCAGAAGTCTGCTTTGACAGAAGCACAAGGTCCTCAACAATGGTCCACCACGCTGAGCCTCTCACTGAACCTGAGGTCACTCCATCTCCATGGCACTGTCTTCTGTGCTAACTGGTCAATGGTGTTCCATCAAAACCACGTCTGAAGGGGACAAGGCGGTGTCATGAGAGCTAACAGTGGGTGAAGACATAAGAGGTGTGGACTCACTCCTTAGGTTGATCTGTACTGTTCTGTTCAGGACCGTGGTGACAACAGGTCCCCTTCTCTTAGCTACCCAGCACACCTGCTCCTTGGCTGAGAAGAAGCTACTCCTGGTGTTTTCAATCTTCATTTGTGTGGAGATTTCTTCCTTCCTATTTCCTTCGTCCTGTGAGTGTCCTCACCTATGAGATGCGTCTCGGCATACAGTTGGACTCTGTGTTTTGATCCACTCTGCTCATCTGTGTCTTTTAATGGGGGGTGAGACCATTTACATTCAGTGTTAGTATAGATTGTGTCCGTGTTTCCTGCCATCTTGGTGTTTTGCTACATTGGATACCATCCTGAGTCTCATTTAGTGGATCACTTCTCAGGGATACTCCTGTATGGGGGGACTTCCAGATTTGGTTCTGAGTTCCTCTGTGTGCACTTTATCTGGAGTGTTCTTTTAGTTCTGGGTGGTGGCCATGGATTCTTTCAGTTTATCCTTGTCATGGAGAGTTTTATTCCCCTCCTTGAAGTAGAAAGAGAGCATCGCTGAGTGTGGTGACCTTGGCTGGCAGCTGTTTCCTTACAGAGCTTGAAATATCTCACTCCAGTCCTCCTTGATTGTAGGGTCCAAAGGGACAGGTCAGAAGGAGTGTTGTTGGTTTGCTTCTAAATGTGACCTGAACTTTCTCTCCAGAAGTTTCATATTCTTTCCTTATTTTCTTTTTTCCCCCATGGAGGAAATGATATGAAACATTTATTTGATATATCAAACAAGATCAGAGCTAAGTAACCCAACTCCACTTCAGCACAACAAAGGCAATCACCCCTCGACCCAGTGTAAGATTGAAATGCAACCTGCATAAGGCACGTGTCATGAAATAGCAAGACTGCTGCTGCCTTCCCCAGGACTTCCAGCCCCTACCAGGTGACAGTGAAATACCAACGGTCCCCATAGTTTTATTGAAATCAATCATTTAAAGTGTATTTTTAAAGATGAATCAAAATGCCTCAGTCTCATTAACCATATATTCACCTGAAACTTTTATCTATGTAAATGAGATTTATTTACTTCCCACTAGTAACTCTTTATTTTACTCACACTATAGCAATGGATTTTCCATACTTAGTGTCTGCCTTGCCCAATATCAAAGAAAAAAATCCAAAATGATTAGTAAAGAAAAATGTAGGAAATAACACCATCTTTACTTTTAAATATTTTAAGGTTTAAAAAGTGTTTAAAGTTTGTAAGTCCTAGAAGGAAAACATTATCTGAATGAACACCCTTTGGCCAATCATGTACAATGCTTCACCTGCCCTGGCTGCACAGGGGCAGGGTCACCTTAAAAGCACCCCAGCTCTCCTGATGAGGTCGGAGGTTGCCACAGCCACTAAGTGATGGAGGGTGCTTTTCTTCAGTGAGGGTCGTGTGCTGGGCATTCTGCTTGACCTCCAAATTTGGCTGACAACTGACTGGTGAGATTCCTAACCTGTGGGTTGCCTTGACATCATGACATCTTTGCGGGGTTCTGGGCCGTGTCCTGGAAGGCCACCCTAACTCCTGGGTCCTGCATGGCTACAAGAACATTCCAGCATGCCCCCTGCCTCCGCAGGCATTCCCCCGGGAAAGCACCTGGGGAAGAGCCCACCTGAGCTCCTCCTTGTGGTCCGGCTTCCTCCTCCCTCTGGCCCTGGACACTCTGTGGCTGCCACGAGAGCAGAGAGCAGATGTGACCAGGTGGCGTCACAAGCTCATAGTCACTGTGAGGCTCACTGTCTCCCCAGGTTGACAGGATCCTGTCCTGAGAAAGGGTCATCCAGACCAAGGAAGCCAGCTTGTGGAGGTGAAGCACGGAGTCCCCAAGCATGTCACTGCAGCCATGGTGACAGGCCACCCTACATGACTCCACCCACTACCATGTGCACTCGACACCACAGACGGGCACTAGACTAAAGCATCCCCAGCACCATCAGCAGGGACAGCGCTGGCCCTGCTGTCACCTCCATGCTGGAACCCTGCTGTGCCACTGAGTGCCTCACACACCCGCCAGGCTGGCCCCTGGGTGACCCTGTGTGAGCAACCCGCTGCAGTCCTGGGCAGGGTGAGCACCTGCTCCTTCTCTGCTGCGTGGGGTCCTCCAGTAGAGGCCACAGACCCTCAGGCAGTGGCTTTGGCAGAGAGACCAGCACATGGGGTCACAGGAAGACTGGGTGGTCCCTAGAACACAGAGCGATGGCCGTCCCTACAGACTGCACAGTCATGGAGCCAGGGTCCATGTGGTCGTGGGCAGGGTGGGCGGGAACACTGCTGCCGACTCCAGGGGGCTCAGTGACCGCCCCCACAGTTCTGATGGAGTTTAAAACAAGGAACTAGACAGGTCAACACCCAGGGGAAAGTCGCCGTCCACAGGTAGATGTCACTCACGACCATCTTTGGGGCAACGTCGGGTTGCTCTTGTGTTGGTCGAGACCACCTGCCACCATCCACCTCGACTTTGAGACTGCACAGGCCTGAGGGACCTGGGGGAGTGGGACCAGCGTCTCTGCTCCATGGAGCCCCAGGTCCCCTGGGCCTGCTCTTGTTCTGAAGGCAGCTCTTCCCAGCTCCCCCTCCAGGAGGCCTTCCCCGGGATTCCAGGTGTGTCCAAAAGGACAGACCTCATCTCACCGTTTACCTAAACAGAAGAGGAGCCATCTGCTTCTCAACCGCCCATCATCACCACTTGCAGGAGACCCACAGGAACCTGTGCCTCAGGGACCCCGTGGTCCCCTGTGAGATGCACCTGGACCAGCACCGCAGGATGAGCCTCTGCCACACACACTTGGGACAGGCCAGCGGGCTCTGGGATGGTGCCTTGGGGTCAAGGTTGGCACACAGCTCAAGGGACAGGAGCCCTGGGGCCTCAGACCCAGGCAGCGGGCATCCAGGCCCAGGCCCTGCCCAGGAGCCTCTGTGGGTCTCCACACTAAGGTGGGAGGGGGAGGGAGCCCACGGGTGAGGCCCACCTGATGGTGCTGCTGTGTCAGCCTGGGGTCTGCTCCCAGATCCTCCCTGGGGACAGTCGGGATCCCCTGGGGGGGGTCACTGACTCCTCAGGTCCAGGTGAGGAGCCCAGTGGCTGGAAGAGGGTAGATGACAAGGCCACTGTGCCCCAGGGGGTGCAGGAAACAGGTCCTAGTTAGCCCAGGGGAGACCAGGGAACAGTAGAGGAGTGGGGACAGGGAGGAGAGGAGAGCAGGGGTGGAGAGGGGCAGGGAGGGAGGGAGGAGGGAAGGCAGCAGGGGGTGGGGAGGGGAGTGAGGGACGGAGGGGAGGGGAGGGAGGGGAGGGGGATGAAGGCTGGTCACTGAGGCCCAATTTCTCATAGGGGGTGGGATGGGATAAGGGACAGTCACACCCAGGCCCTTCTGCGACTACCTGGTTGAAAAACTGACAGGAATATTTACATACAGGCAAATCCCAGAACAAACACTCAGACTGAGTCAGAAGGTGACCTTTTTAAAGAATGACAGTGAATTCTGCCATGAGCTGACCCCTCTGCTCTCACAGGGAGGGGACCCGAGGCCACAGCTGAAGTGAAGAAAGAGCAGCTTCACCAGAACTCAGGCCACTTAGTCACAGCCCTGCCCAGTAGCTTAGGACAGAGCCCTACGACCAAGAAGGGACTTCAGAGGGGGGGACAGGACACAGAGGAGGCAGGACACCCACAGAGGACGGTCTCCAGGGAGACGGGGAGGGGGTGCTGCTGCCTCAGAACAAGAGAGAAGAGCTCACACAGGACCTGCTCAGCAGAGAAGCCCACACTAGACCAGGAGCCCCCAGGTCCTTCCCTGGCCCCTGTGTCCCTCTGTCCCCCACACGAGCTCCAGCTGGCTCACAGCCAGGTGCTCAGGGTCTGCTGCTCTGCGTCCACCTGCAGCAGGAACCTGCACCTTCCCCAGAGCACCTCCAGGGCTGGGAGACGACTGGCCCAGCAAGGACCAGAACCCTGTGCCCAGGACGGGCTGAGGGAGCCCCGGGGAGGCCCTGGGAGGAGGACCAGCCCCGGGTCACCCTCACCTGGAAGGGGCCGGCTCAGGAGGGCACCAGGGAGTTTGTGCTGCGTCCTGGCCCTGGAGGGACGAGGACAGGTCAGGCAGACAGCAGAAGGGGTGAGGGGGCAGCACTGCTGTCTGAGCCGCCTGCAGGGGGCCCAGGCCCTCCCCACCCAGTCCTGGGGACAAGAGCCAGGCTCTGGGAGGGCAGTTCCCCTTCCTGTGGGCAGCTGATGTGACACCCTATGACAGGCAGAACCCGGCCTCCAAGTGGCCACGCCCTGTGTGTGTCTGTCCTCCAGCTCTGTGACCTCCTCCATCTGGACCCTGGGACCACGGGAAGGACACACCATGACCCCCACCCTCACGGCCCTGCTCTGCCTGGGTGAGATGTGACGGAGGGAGGGGACACCCTGTTCTGGGAGGTCAGCCCACAGCCAGGCCCTGGCCATCAGGAGACCCAGGGCCCAGGAGGCTGTGGGGGGACAGGGCCTGCTCAGGCCTCAGGGGCTCCCCTCTCACAGGAACTCTCTTCCAGGGCTGAGTCTGGGCCCCAGGACCCGAGGGCAGGCAGGTGAGTGTCCCAGCTGTCCAGGTCCTCCTCCTGGGGACCAGGAGCCACCCTGGGCAGTGGGTGGAGAACAGAGTTGGGGGCTGAGGCTGGGAGCCTGGAGGGGGCTGGGCTGAGGGCTGGGATCTGAGGGGTGTGCTGGGACCCAGCCTCTGATTCCCTTGCAGGGACCCTCCCCAAGCCCACCCTGTGGGCTGAGCCAGGCTCTGTGATCGCCCGGGGAAGGCCAGTGACCATCTGGTGTGAGGGGCCCCTGGAGGCCCAGGAGTTCCGTCTGGGTAAAGAGGGAATCTCAGGGCCCTGGGACAGACAGAGACCACTGGGGCCCAGGAACAAGGCCAAGTTCTCCATCCCATACATGACTGAGCACCATGCAGGGAGATATCAATGCCTCTATCTCAGCCCTGCTGGGTGGTCAGAGCATAGTGACCCCCTGGAGCTGGTGGTAATGATAGGTGAGAGGACACTCAGGGGTCCCAGCCCCAGGCTCTGCCCTCAGGGAGGGGGTCTGCTCCCAGGTGTCCCTCTCACAGCCCAGCTGGGGGTGGTGTGGGAGGAGGGAGCCATGAACACCTGCCTCCTTCTCTCCTAGGATCCTACAGCAAACCCTGGCTCTCAGCCCTGCCCAGCCCTGTGGTGACCTCAGCAGGGAACGTGACCCTCCAGTGTGGCTCATGGCAGGAATATGGCAGGTTTGTTCTCACCAAGGAAGGAGGACACCACCTCACCTGGACCCTGGACTCACAGCGACACCCCAGTGGGCAGGTCCAGGCCCTGTTCCCTGTGGGCCCCGTGACCCCCAGCCACAGGTGGACATTCACATGCTACGGCTATTACAGGAGCGAACCCCAGGTGTGGTCAGGACCCAGTGACCCCCTGGAGCTCCTGGTCTCAGGTGAGGAAGCTCCATCTTCCCCTGACACAGTTGGGGACATTAAGCAGGGACTTTGGCCTTTTCCTTAGGACGGCCCCAGGTAAGAGAAATGGGAGAGAATCAGGGTCTCCTGACCAGAGTCCCCATGAGTGAGAGTGTGACCTGCAGGCAGGACGGGGGGAGGCAGGGGGTTGGCAGGGTCCAGCCCTCAGCCCAGGCTCCTCTTCCTCCAGGGGTGTCCAGGAAGCCCTCCCTCCTGACCCAGCAGGGCCCTGTCCTGGCCCCTGGAGAGACCCTGACCCTCCAGTGTCACTCAGACGTCACCTATGACAGATTCGCTCTGTCCAAGGAGGGGACACAGGACCTCCCCCAGCGCCCTGCCCAGCAGCCCCAGGCTGGGCTCTCTCAGGCCGACTTCCTGCTGGGCCCTGTGAGCAGCTCCCACGGGGGTCAGTACAGGTGCTACGGTGGACACAGCCTCTCCTCTGAGTGGTCAGCCCCCAGTGACCCCCTGGACATCCTGGTCTCAGGTGAGGAGCACAGAGGGTGCAGTCAGGGACCCAGCCTCTGCACAGCCCTGTTGGGGAGCCCCAGGAGGTGATGGCCAGGGTGATGTGGGGTCTCAGGAGGGAGAGAGACAGGGAGGGGCAGAGAGGACAGAGACAGGGGGACACAGGGACAGGAAGAATCAGAGACAATGAGACAGACAGAGAGCACAGGGTCCCCACAGAGAGGCCCCGGGGAGGTCTCAGCTCAGAACAAGCTGGGGCCACCCTCACCCTCCTTCCTCTCTCTAGGACAGCCCCCTGTCACACCCTCCCTCTCAGTGCAGCCTGGTCCCACAGTGTCCTCAGGGGAGACCGTCACCCTGCTGTGTCAGTCACAGATCAAGATGGACACTTTCCTCCTGTGCAAGGAGGGGGCAGCTGATCCCCCCCTGCGTCTGAGAGCAGAGTACCGAGCCCCATGGCACCAGGCAGAGTTCTCCATGAGAGCTGTGACCCCAGCCCTCGGGGGGACCTACAGGTGCTATGGCTCCCACAGCTCATCCCCCTACCTGCTGTCACGGCCCAGTGCCCCCCTGGACCTGGTGGTCTCAGGTGAGTGACCCTGACCCCATCCTCTGTGAGCTCAAGGATTCCCTCAGGGCCCTGCCCAGGACAGCTCTGGGTGGGATGGGAGTGAGGGGCCCTAGGGAGGGTCGGCCAGTGGGACTCACCCCCCAGAGAGGGGCCACCGGGGTCCTCCAGCCTGTGCACCCACCCATCACTGGAATCAGGAAGGTGCAGGTGGGCACAAGAGGGTCCTGGGGAGGCCAGGCAGGTGTAGGAGGATGGGCAGAGACAGTCCCCAGGGGCAGCCTGCACCCCTCACCCTCGTGTTGTCCCCATTCCCAGGACCATCTGGGGGCCCTGCCCCCTACCATCCCCAAGGCTGGTCCCTGAGGCCTCGTAGCTCACAGGGACCCAGGACTCCCCACCCCACTCTGACCTAGCTCTTCTGACTGTCCCACTGGATCTCTGCTTCCTCTTCAAACTTTTCAGAGGACAAGAATCAGGGTTTACAGTGTCAGGAAACCCGGGCCCCAGAGCTCAGGGCTGGGAGGCATGAGGGTGAGGTCCAGGCAGAGGAGACTCTGGGCCCAGCCTGGGGAGGAGCAGCCAGCTGAAGTGGGGGGCAGGCAGCCCAGCCCTCACCTCCCACCCACCCCAGGAGGCCCTGAGGACCAGCCCCTCACCCCCACGGACCCAGGACCCCAGAGTGGTGAGTGAGGGGCTCTGGTGGGAGGTGGGTCCAGGGCAGGTCTGAGCTGAGGGGGGAGCAGCCCCCTCTGGAGATGCTGACGGGGACCAGCCCCTCCCCTCTGGGCCTCAGTTTCTCCCAGGGCAGAGGAGAGGCCTGGCCCTGACCTTCGAGTGCCTCTCAGGGCTGACCTTGGCTGTGCCCTGCTGGGAGAGGGGCCTCCAGGGAAGCCTCCAGGACCTGAATCTGCAGGGCTCTGTCCCCTGTGTGCAGTGACAGTGACACTGAGCAGGGGAGGGCTCAGGGCCATCGGGGTGTCAGGCTCTTTCCCTCCAGCTCAGGGCTGAGCTCTGGTGGAGAGAAGGAGACTGGGAGTCAGACTCCCCCAGTTCAGGCCCCGCTCTGCTGCTTCCTGCTGGGGACCTGGGTGAGCCTCCGTGTCCTCATACCTTGGTGGGTGGATGGGGTGGTGGTGCCTGTCACATGATTGACAGTTGCAGGCGTCATCCAGTTGCTCTGGGGCTCAGCTGAACTTTGCTCCAAGGTGACTCAGACACAGTCCTGACCTCCCAGAGCACAGAGAGGGTGAAGGACCAGGGAGAGGAGCAGAGGGGACCTGAGGACCAGGAAGGGCTCAGAGGGGCTCCAGAGAGTCCTGTGGTGAGAATGAGGCGAGGGGGTGGGTCCCAGGCAGGACGGGGCTCCTCAGGTCACAGGTCCCCTCCTCTACTTGGTTCTAGGAGCCACTGAGACCATCAGCCCAGCGCAGAGCAGCTCAGACCCCAGCTCAGGGGAGTCGGGAGGATTCTCAGGTATGCTGCTGGACTCTGAGGGTCACGTCCTGGCCAGGGGAGGCGGCTGCCCTGGGTGGACATGTGGGGATCCTGTCTCCCTGACCTCTGACCTCTGTGTCCAATTCCCAGCCTCAGCTCCCCAGGACTACACAGTGCAGAACCTCATCCGGATGGGCCTGGCTGGCCTGGTCCTGCTGGTCCTCGGGGTCCTGCTGTCTCAGGCTCAGGACAGCCAGAGAGGGACCCGAGGTGCAGCCAGGAGGTGAACAGGAGAGAACAGGGCACACTCAGAGGGCAGAGCTGGGAGCCGAAGGACCCTCGGGAGTCTGAAGGCCACCTGGACAGGTGGGGCTGCACCTGAGACTGTCCTGGCAGCAGAGGTGACTGGGTGCAGGACCAGCTGGGTGCTGGCTGAGAGCCTTCCCCACCATGCTGTGTGCACCCAGGGCTGGCCCAGCGCTCTCTGCAGCCCTCCACACGCCAGTCCCCACGGGGAGATGTCCGTGCAGCTGTGCCCACAGTGTAACAGGTGCTGGTCCTGTGGACATGACTGTGAAAAAGCCACATTAAAACCCTGAGAGTCCTGCTGTGTGTTTGCTCTTACTGTCCACGTCCCTTCCTCCCACCCTCCACGTGCCGAGGTAGCACCACATCACCAGGTCGTGGTGTAAATCCAAACATCTCTGCTCACTGCTGGAGTGTGGAGAAGCATCGACCCCCAACGTCACCTAGAGTCACCTCCTGACATGGCTCCCTGGGTCCTGCAGGGTTTCTGTCTTCATGGAATCACTAGGGGATCTGTGTTGCCAATCATGACATTGTGAACAGAGCTGTTTCAATGAAGGGACTTGAGAGTCCACTGGTAGTTCAGAGACTATCAATGAAGGTAAGGCACCCTCCAGGCCTTCCCTTCACTGGTAGTCCATGTGGTTGATGGCATGCACTTTCCTGCCCCAGGACCTTGGCTTAGCATTTCAAGGCAGGTGGGCTGCAGGCAGAGCCCCTCAGCGTGGGCATGAGCAGCCGCTCTCTCCCTCCACCTTGAGGGGAACTCCCAGGGCAGAGCGTGGGGCGGGTGCTCTTTGCTCTCCTCCCTTCTCTGTCCCGGGCCTGGTCCTGCCCACCTGGTCTCTGCGTGGCCCTGCCTGCTGTGGCCCTGGCCCTGCCCGCCTCCTGCAGGCCTTGGGCTCCTCCTGTCTTGCTGTTGCAGAAGACAAGCTGGTGGCCCTGGGTTCCTCCTGCAGGCACCAGGGTGCACCTGGAGCCATCTCCTCCGGCCCAGTCCCTCGGCATCATCCCCTGGGGTGGCAGTTCCTGTACATGGGCTTTTCAGGAAAGCTAAGGTGTGCGGCTGGGCACGTGTCCAGCAGTGCACGGTCAGCTCTGTCTCTCCTTGAGCAGGTGCCCTGGACAGGGAGCTTCACAGTGCTTCTCAGGGTTTCTGTCCCACATAGGGGAGACCCGAGGGCTGCAGGGGGCAGGAGCTGGCCCGTCCCGTCCAGGTCAGCCAGGCTCTGGTAAAGCCCCAGCAGGCGGGCTGTGCAGCTGCCTCTCCTGCAGACCTGGGACAAGAGCAGAGCGCCCAGCATTGGGTCTTCAGTGGACACAGCAATCGTCCACCTGGACCCAGGGGCCAAAGCCAGGATCCTCTCAGGTCCCAGCCTCGCCGCCCCATCTCCTAAGGAGGTTTGCAGATTAACCAGGACGGAGCCCCTCCCATGCACCCTGCACCCCTGACCCAAAGCCCTCTTGGAGAGGGTTTGTGACGGACGACCTCCTCAAGACGAGGAAACGGAGGGCCAGACGAGGGTGTTCCTGCTCACAGGAACATGGGCAGGGGATGAGGACAACCAGGAGGTTTTTCCCCTGCTGCCAGGTATTGAACCTAAGGTGTCCTCTCCCACTAAGCTCTCGTCCCAGGCTTAGACTCTTCCTCAGTTTCTTAGGACCTCACTAAATTGCTGAGGTGGCCTCAGACTTGTCATCCTGCTGCCTCTGTGTCCAGAGATGGTGGGACTGCAGGGTAACCAGGAAGTTCTACAGATCAGCTTCTGCAAAGCCAGAGCGCACACCTCACTGTTGTTCCCCAGATGTGACACAGCAAAGGGTGGAGGTAGCAATGGGGCCCAAGGGGACATGCAGTGCAGACAACGGGGGAGGGGTGCAGGAGGGAAAAGGGGAAGTGGGTGAGGCCAAAGTTCAGCAGAAAACAAACCTCACTCCAGAGTCTTTAAAGAGACTTGTTATTTATTTATATATTTGTACCAGGGATTGAACCCAGGGGGGCTTTATCTCGGAGCCACATCCCCAGTCTTTTTATGTTTTATTTTGAGACAGGGTCTCACTAAGTTGCTTAGGCCACTAAGTTGCTGAGGCTGGCCTTGATCTTGCCATCCCCCTGCCTCAGCCTCCTGAGCTACAAGAATTACAGCCTGGGCCACCATGCCCGGCTCTTGTTATTTCCTTCACTTTCCCTGGGTCTCTGTGCTCATCCCCAGCAGGAAGCGCCAGGTGAGCTCACAGCCAGGTGCTCAGGGTCTGCTGCTCTGCCCTCCCCTGAAGAGGGAACCTGTGTCTCCCTGGAAGCATCTCCAGGCTGGGGGATGGCTGGCCCTGGCAAGGGGCTCACCACCCTGTGCCCTGCACAGGCTGAAGGGAGATGGAGCCCCAGGGAGGCCCTGAGAGGGGAGGCCCAGCCCTGGGTCACTCTCACCTGGAAAGGGCCAGCTCAGGAGTCACCAGGGGTATTTGGTGCTATGTCCCCTGGAGGGATGAGGACAGATCAGACAGACCGTGGGGGTGGACAGAGGAGACCCAACTCTGTCTGAAGGGCTGCAGAGACACTGCATCCTGAGACAGCCACATTCCTAGGAAAACAAGACCACGCAGGGAGGTGGGCTGTCCCCTTCCTGTGGGGCTGCAGGAGCCACAGCCCAGGAGGGAAGAACTGGCCCCAAGGCTGCTTAATTCCCCTCTCTTGACACAGAGCTGTGGCCAGGGCAGCCCCAGCAGGGGGCACCAGGCTTCCTCCCCTCCCCTGGCACAGCAGGGCCTTTGCTGTGTGTCCTGCAGGCCCCTGGCTGGGCTCCTGGAGGTCAGTGTCATGATCTAGGGATGCACTGTCCTGAGCTCCCTTTAGGGTTGAAGTGTCAGCATTGCCCACAGGTGGCCTCCACAATAGGACAATGACAGGATTTCCTCTGCTGGACAAGGAACTGAACCAAAACTTCTCCAAAGATGCACAAAGGGTCCAAAATAATATGAAACAAACAAACTGTGTTGGGCTTCTCTCGCCAGCAGGGGAGAGCAACCCAATAAGTCCATCTCACCCAGTCAGGGTGTCCATCATCAAGAAAATAAAAATAATTAATTTTTTCTCATTAAAAAAAATACTATACCCTTCTTTCAATTTTTGGTGTCTCTACTGCTGTGCCTTCAAGTTCAAGTTCACTATTCTACTGTGGTGCAGTGTTTACTAACATCTGGTTTATTTCTTGACTATATGGTAGGTGTTATGTCTAGAAGAGCCATTTACTACACACACACACACACACACACACACACAGACACACACACAGAGACACACACACACCTTTTAGAACATCTTCTATTTATTTTCTAAATTTTTGAAAATACAGAATACAGTTATAATAAATAGTTTGGGTCTGGTTTGGTGCTGGGATTGACCCCAGGGCCTCACACGTGCTAGGCATGTGCTCTACCACTGAGCCACCCCCTCAGCCCCTGTAACAACAGTTTTACTGTCTCTGTCTACCAGTTCTTGCTGGGAGCCATTAGCCAAGTAGGTATGACAATTTCCTTGCCAGCGTACCCCATGTTGCTGACATGTTGCAGTGACATTGAATGTAGGTGACCTTGCTCAAGGACCAAGGCAGATTAGGGTGTTCCCGGTTTTAAGATAATCGTGTTTAGGGCGTTCCCAGTTTAGGTTCCAGGTTTAAGGTTTAAGATTATTCCTGCTGGGAATAGGGCGTATCCTGCTGCCTGAGTTCCCCTTGAGTTCTCACGGGATTCAGACAATATATTTTGGAGATAGAAGCCCAGTGGAGGTGGATTTGGGCAGAGAACGTGGATTTGGGCAGAGAACGTGGATTTCCCCAGAACGTGATTGTAGACGGCTGGTGTGAGTTCGGGAATAAAGAGTTGCTGTTTGAATCTACAAGCTGTGTGGTGGCTCGTGATTGTGTGCCCAGCCAGACTGCGGCATTTGTGCCCAGTCAGACTGTGGCAAGTTCTAACATCCAGGGACCTGGCCTAGGCTCCACAAACAGAGCCCAGCAACCCCAGGCCCTGAGCAAATGCCAGGTCCCTGTGGTAGCCCAGGAGCATGAGACCAAACCCCAGGTCAGTTTCTGTGGACCGTGTGCTATGGTTCTTCCCCACTGCCTGTCTGGTCATGATTGATTGCAGGCCAGACAGTGTTCCCTTACTTTGTAGGGGCTGGACGTATTCCTGTCAGTACTCTGAAGCTTTGTTGTAGAACTCAGATAAGTGCCTGGGAAGCAGTTTGATTTTATGCATTATTTGCAATAAGTCAAACTAGAGCTGCCATCACCTAGAGGTGCCTAGTCCTCACCACTGAAGCAGGCCCTGTGCACTCTTTGCCTATAACAGTGCCCTGCACCACCTTCCAGGGGGGTTTCCTGTCTGGCTGGGGAAGCACCAAACACTGTTCTCTCTGGCCCAAGGACTCATGCTTCAGACCTGCCCCAGGGCTGCAGATTGGCACATGTGCCACCTCAGATCCAGGTTGGCATGCGCAGCCAGGTTTGACCAGCCCTATACACCCAGATTCCAGGTCCCTGCTACAGATCCAGTCAATATGCCCATCCCATTGGCACTAGGGAGTCCGTGACCCAAGTGCCACATCCATCCACCTACAGACGCAGGCACAGTTAAGAGTGCCCGGGGCTCCAGCAGGAAACCCACATGAAGTCCCCACCATGAGACTTCCCTGGAACCTCTAAATGGCTTCCTGGTAAGTGGCCTTCCCTGCTGAAGCCTGTCTATAAGGACTACTTCTTCAAATGTGCAGACACCATTGCAAGGCCACAAGGATCATGAAAAATCAGGGACACTGCTGTCCCCGACCAGCATGAGCAGCTGAACTTAAGGTCGCTCATGTGAATTTTCAGGGACACCAAATGAAACACTTTACCTTTAAACAAGCTTCAGGACGGCTCCTCCACTCTCAGCCTCAGGCTCCCCAAAAGGGAGAGCAAGAGAAGGTCCCGGGAGGCTGGCGAGGGGACCCTTTTTTTAGAAGGTTCTATCCAAAAAAGGCCAGAAGGGGCAGGGTTACAAGGGACAGAGGAGTATAATTCAACCCAAGTGGCGACACCTATATCTGAAGACTCGCCCTCAACTTCCTGAGCTGGGACAGCGCCCAAGTCACCAGGCAATGTCCTGATCCGTCAGAGCCTCTTGCTTCAGGATGGAAGGTGCACCTCATTTTCCCCCTTCCTTCTTTGAAAGAGCAGGTGGTGGGTCACTATTTCAGAGTCCCCGAATTCTTGTTCTGAAGGCTCTCCCTCCTACCATTACAATACAAGAGAGAATTAGTA